AAAACTCCAAGCTCCAGCACCAGAGCGACCTCACCGAACAACCCACTCACTAAGCTGCTGCGGTGAGGGCGTCTCGAGTCGAGTAGGCAGCTGCTGCTGACCAATGCCAGGACATGCAGCAGTAGCACCCATTGCCCCACCACCACTAGGACTCGCAGCACCCCCAGAGTCAGCACCCCCAGAACCCTCACCCCTAGTCTCAGCACCCCCAGGTCCAGCACCTCCAAAGTCCTCACCCCCATTTTCACCACCCCCAGCAGCACCAGTGTCCACAGCTACAGGCTGCAGAGGCGGCAAAGACGGTCGAGGAGGAAAACCAGGAGGGGTCTTCAAGCGTGGAGAGCGACGAGTGGTCGCCATGTCGTCACCGGCGGGGTCACCCCCCTCAGCTGGGCCAGAGGTGTCAGAGGAGACCACCAAAGGCTCAACCAAGGGGGGTGGTTCTACCTGAGATACACCTGAGGGAGCAGAACCATGTGGGGGGAGGGGGTCTACCGAGGGGGGAACTGGGACCAGGAAGAGGGGCGCCAGGGGGATCGGGTGGGACACATGCGGGTGGAGCCTGTAGAAATAGACAGACTCATCAAAGGTGACGTCCTGGGAGGACAGGACTCGACGCAAGGCAGGGTGGTCAAACTGCCACGGCGGGGCGTCTGTGGGGAAGCCAAGGAGGACGCAACAGAGAGTGCGAGGAGAGAGCTTTGCTTGCGGTGGTATCGCAAACAAGTGAGAGCGCGCCCCAGACCCGAAACACCGACGCATCGCCAACCTCTCCTGTCCAACGTTGTGTGGGGGAGGTCTCTGGCATAGAGGCACGGGGCCAGAGGTTGAGTTGATGCGCAGCATATCGGACCGCAAATGGCCACAGAAAATGGGGAGCAGCCACATGGATCATGGAGGTACAAGCAACCTCCATGATCAATCCAATGCGACGCTCAGCAATCTTATTCTGCTGCGGAGAGGCCGGAAGCGAGAACGACTGGACGATGCCCTCGTCTTGACATAACGCTGCAAGGAGGCCAGAAGAGAACTCACCACCCCTATCAGAGTGCAGACGCTGGACTGGAAGGTCCCGCCGAAACCACTCGCACAGCTGGCGACGAGTAGCGCGGATCTAGGGGATCAAAACACCACGGACGTCCGCCTTGTTGTGCAAGGGGAAGACCGTGGTGTAGCGCGTATAGTCGTCAATAACCAGCAGGAAGTTGCGCTCCTGGTCCGTCCCACGGACGGGGGCCGGGCCCCACACATTAATGTGGAGAGTTTGCAGAGGAGCAGTGGTCGGAGGAAACTAGGAGGAGTGAGGAGCGGCGCGCTGCCGCCCCTCGACGCAGGGAAGGCACGGCGGGGCAGGCGAGCGGGGGAGGGGGGGCAGGGACCTGGGAAGGCCAGAGACAAGGAGACGGGAGTGCATGCTGCGTAGACGCGGCAGAGAGGGGTGACCGAGTCGGTGGTGCCAGAAGAGAGTCTGCTGGGAGAGTACCCGACACGAGCACGACACAGCTAACTGACCAGACGCAGACACTTGACTCGACGCAGCCACCTGACCTGACACAGCCACCTGTGCAGACGCAGTAGTCAGAGTGTACAGACTGGACCCAGGCTGCCGAGAGAAGGTAGCAAGGTGACGTCCAGTCCGGGAGCACATACAGATCGCCACACGCTACCGTCCAGGGGTAAAGGTATCAACCCATACATCTTGAAGGACTGCGTTGCTCACCAAGTTCATCGAGAACGAGGGGAGGTGGAGACCTAAAAAAAGCCGGAGGGGACTGCCGGACACGGGAGGACAGTGGAGGCTCGTGCGACTACGGGGCCCCCAAAGGGGTCAGCCAGCGAGACTGGGACAAGTGCAACGAGTGGTGTGACTGTGGTGCAATCACGAAAGAAGCAACGAGACATGCAAGAGCGCCAGAGACAAGTGTGAAAGTGTGCAGGGCCTCAGCTGAGGCAGTGGAGTCACTAGCACCTGTGGCAGTAGACGCACTAGCACCTAGAGCGACAGCAGACTCACTAGCACCTAGAGCAGCAGCATCTACACCAGCAGCGCAAGGCACACGCGAGTAACACGCACCCTCAGCACTAATATCATAAACATACATAGCATAGATAGCCTTGTTGATCTGAACAAAGTCAAGAGAAAACACATCCACATCCTTCGCTATAAGTTGCAGGCAATTGGGGACCTCCTGCTCATCACCGTACTCGGTCACCCAGGCATCCTCGAGATGACCGAAACAGCGTTACTCTGTGTGCCCAGGCCTCCCGCAGGTCTGACCCTTCTTGGGCCCCGTGCGCCAGACATACGAGCAGCGAACAGAGCCCCCAGGGGAACCACGCTGGACAACCCACTCATGAAGTTGCTGAGGGGTGGGTGTGTCTGGGAGGCGTGCCAGCTGCTGTCCACTCCCATAGCCTCCGCCGCCACGAGCTGAACCCCCATAGCCTCCACTCCTGCTAGTTCCACCCCGACCGCCTCCACCACCCCCGCCACCTCCACCACCCCCGCCACCTCCACCACCCCCGCCGCCTCCACTACCTCCACCTCCGGTGCCACCTCCACCGCCTCCGCCCCCGCCACCACCGCCCCCGCTACCACCACCGCTAGTGCCACCCCCACCACCCTTACCCCCCTTGCCCTTGCCGCTGCGGCGCTTCCCACTAGGAGCAGACGGAGCTCCGCCTCCCTCAGCACCAAGGAGGTCGACAGCAGCAGCAGAGGCAATTGAGGGTATGAGAGGGGAGGGAGCATGCCCTTCAAAAAAGGGGGAGCGGGGAGTGCCAAGAGAGGCAGCGATAGCGACAGTACTGGTCTCAACCTCAAGAAGGTACTTCTCCAGCGAGGCAAGCGTGCGCTCAGTGGGGTCAAGGGCGAGGAAGTGGTCCCTAACTGTGCGGAGGGAGTCAGGGAGGCGAGTGACAAGGAAGTACAGGGTGATATAAAGCGGGGGTGGGTTCGCAGGGAGGAAGGCCGGCTTGAGAGCGGCGTGGTAGCGAGTCTCACTAGAGATCAGCAACGGTGTGGAAATCTGCGAGCTCATAAAAGAGGTACGGCAGCATGAGACGGCCTAGGGCAGCAGTAGCTGGGGAGGAGTAACGAGCGACAACGGCATCATAGAGGACTTTGGCTATCTTCTGCTGGCCAAAATGTGCCCTCTCAGCTAGCGGGAGGTGGTTGCGAACAGCAAGGCGGGCAATAGCGTCACGCGTGAGCCACTTCGATTGTTCTAAGCGGTCGGCCGTATCAGCTGGGGTGAAGAGGGATCCGGACGTATGTTCGATCAATGTAACTCCATCCCTAGCTTCGCTCTGCAGGTACAGCTGGAGATCGTCTAGCCAAACGTCAAAGCTAATCGGGCACCCCTCCGCATCAAAGCTAAGAACCAAAATGGTGGCCATAGTAGCAGTAGCAGCCGCAGCAGTAGCAGTAGCAGCAGTAGGATGGGCGGCACAGCAGAGCAGTGCGGCTCGGCAGGGGCAGGGTAGTGCGGCTCAGGCAGGGTGGCGCGGCTCGGGCTGGGCGGCGCGGCTCGGCAGGGCGGCGCGACTCGGCAGGGCGGCGCGACTCGAGCTGGGCAGCGCGGCTCGGCAGGGCACAGCGCAGCAGCGCGCGTGGCAGCAGCAGCTCAGGCGCAGCATCGCATTTGGCAGCAGCTGCGCAGCAGCAGCAGCAAAGCATGCAGCAGCAGCAGCAGCGCGTGCAGGTAGGGGCGCTCGCGGGCAGGCAGCGCACGCGCAGGCAGGGGGCTCGCACGGGTAGGGGCGCGGGCAGGCAGCGCTAGCAGACAGGCAGGGCGTGCGCGCAGGCAGCGCTCGCGGGCAGGCGGATCGCGGGCAGGCGGCGCTAGCAGGCAGGCAGCGCGCGCGCGGGCACGCTGCGCTCGCGGGCAGGCAGCTCGCGCGGGCGGCAGGTAGCGCGTGCGCGGTCAGGCAGCTCGCGCGGGTGGCAGGGAGCGCGCGGGCGGGCAGAAAGGGCGCGTGCAGCAGGCAGCGCGCTAGGGGAGGCAGCGCGCGTGGCAGCAGGGCAGCGCGACGCTGTTCGGGCAGGGCAGGGCAGCGCAAGGGCGCTTCGGGCAGGAACGAGCGGAACGATCGGTAGGCCCTAAAAAAAATCTAACCGTTAACCTGCTCTGAAACCATGTCGAGAGTTAACTGTGCAGGAATGAGGTAGGACTAGCAAGGATGAGATACAAATATGAAACCCAAATTAGGGTTGTACTCTATATTGAGCACCTCACTGTAGCCTAGCAGAGCTAACAACATATAAATATGTTTTGACAAGGCGCTCCGATCCTCATTCACAAGCCTGTACACGTGGAAGTTGCGCCGCCGCTCCGGCATGTCAGGAATCAAATAGTGGGCGCTGACCTCCTTCTGTGGGTCGGCCAGTATTCAGAGCGAGTCCGCCAGAGATTGCGCTGTATAGTGCAGCACAAGAAACTGTGCCCGCGAATCCAGATTACCGGTAGGAGTTCGCAACGTTTTATCGACAGAGTACTTCACGCCCGGTGTGGTACAGTCGCTCAAGAATGCAGTAAAAAACAATATATGGCCTCGAGTTCTCTGGAAACACCGAAGAAAAAATGCCAAGAATGAATTCATCTTTGTACATCCTCGCGGGTAGGGATGTGCTTGTGTTATCTCGCAGTCGGCGAGCACGAAAGGGGTCACAAAAAATTATGGCAAACACCCATGCCCGAGCAATGCGAAAACATGGTCTGCTCTTTGAGCTGGCATTGGTTTAGCAGTGCTTAGGGTGAATGGATATTGATACCACCGCGCAGTCGGCAAGGATTACCGAAACACACACTGACATACCATACTTCTTTTAACCTCCCTCCCAAATAAGTAGACTACATGACAAATCACGAACAGCCATGACATATGGCATCAGCGTCACCAAGCACCGCCAACATACTATCCAGTGACAACCACAACCTTAACCACATCCCACCACTAAAATTATTTGCATGTCCGCTCATGAGAAGCTATGGACCACCCTATGGCATCACCATCACCATGCACCGCCAACATTCTATCCAGTGACAACCATATTCGAACAGCAGCATCCCTCGTCCACCCTCCATCCTCACACACCCTCCCACAACCACCCTCGTTAATGTCACATTCAATCTCACTTGAACCACCCGACCTTGGAGTTGCCTTGGGAGGGAGAAAACATTCGAGTGTATGAAGTGAGGCGCTATAAGCTAGAATAGGAGCTATTTCTGTTGTACCATCCCCAAGAAGCACTATTCGATATAACCTTGGCACAGCAGCTCGCATCCTTCCATACTGCTGACTTGACCAGCACTGTATACCGCTTTCTGTAGAGCTGCTGTCTGCTTTAAGAGCAGCTTCGATAGAAGCAGGTAAGTGGCACCAATCATCCTCATGCAAATGCCCCTTTATATCACGATCAGCAGCACCAGCGCCTTCACCATCATCACCAGCAGTAGATGAATCAGCCAATGCAGCAGCACTATTAGCACTGTTAGCAGTGTTAGCAGTGGTGGAAGCAGCGGCAGCATCAGCAGCATTCGCCACCCACCCTTGAGGAGATGAGTGTCCGGCTGCTGACGGGGATAGGATCGCATGGTAAGGGACTGGATCCCGCCAGTCAAGAAAGTCAACGCCAGTCTTCTCCTTGCCCCGGTCAAAGTCACCCTCAGTCTCCAGCCCAAGGGGAACCCTGCGGCAAGTCAAAACCCCAGCGATGACGTCAGCATCTGCGAGCCTGGCAGTCAGCTCGGTCAACCGAGTCAACAGAGCCAGCTCCTGCCGAGCCTGGGCCGTAGCCTCGGAACCGGACCTGTGTGCTGCTGGCCCATCCGAAAGCGACACCTGGCGCTTGAGCTGCTTCCAGGTGTCTGCTGCGCTGGCGGAGCAGACCTCCTCCAATCGCGTGTTGCCACCTGGCAACAGCTCCTCCAGCAATGCATCTTCATCATCCTCCATGTCATCAGGTAGTAATTCCACCTCATCAGCTTCCACTGCCACCTCATCTGCTTCCACTGCCACCTCATCCATCTCCACTTCCACGTCATCCACCTGACCTTCCACTTCACCACATTCCTCCAGACCATTCTCGGCTCCCTCCTTCCTCTCATCGCACTCCTGCTTCTCCTTTTCCCTTTCCTCCTCACTCCCCGTCGTAACCTCCTCTCTGCCTATCTCACCCTCCTCTTGCTCCCTCTCACAACCACCCTGTGCCTCCCCACGTCCTTCCCTCTCCATGTCTGCTACAGCCTCCTCTGCTACAGCCTCCTCTGCTACAGCCTCCTCTGCTACAGCCTCCTCTGCTACAGCCTCCTCTGCTGCAGCCTCCTCTGCCACCCTCCTGCGGTCCACTTCCCCACTGCTCGTCCCCGTACCTATTCCTCCTGTCTCCATATGCTCCTGCCTGCATCCCCCAACCTCCTCTTGCTTCTGACCCCTCCCCTTCCTTGCATCGTCACTCGTACCCTGACAATGCTTCTCCCCCTCCTCCTCGTCATCTGAGCTTTGTGACAGGCGACCAAGAGGAGGGCAGACAGCCGCCCCCCTGTGCCTCTCAAATGGTCCCACTGTGCCTCCCTCTGTGCCTCTGTCTCTCTCCCTCTCCCCCTCCTCCTCCCGCTCCTCCTCCCGCTCCTCCTCATCATCCGAGGTCAAAACCACCCCTCTGTGCCTCTCAAATGGTCCCACTGTGCCTCCCTCTGCGCCTCTGCCTCTGTCTCTCCTCTCACCCTCCTCCTCCTCCTCGTCATCCGAGGTCACAACTGCCCTCTGCTTTCTCTTCCTGAACCCGCCTTCTTTCCCTCTCTTCTCCTCCCCACACTCTCCAGCTTCTTCTCCTAGACCTTTTAAACCTTCTTCCTGACCTCTAGGCTCTTCCCCGAAATCTCCTCCTCCACTCTCCCAACTGTCTGCTGCTGCTTCTCCCGCTATTCCTTCTGCTGCTGCTGCTGCTGCTGCTGCTGCTGCTGCTGCTGCTGCTGCTGCTGCTGCTGCTGCTGCTGCTGCTGCTGCTGCTGCTGCTGCTGCTGCTGCTGCTGCTGCTTCTGCTGTTCTGTCTGCTCCTACTTCTGCTGCCATCCTCCCTCTAACTACCCTTCTTCTGAGCCTTCTCCGTCTGCCTTCCACTAGTAAAGCATCATTCCCTCCTTGCATGTCATTCCCATTCTGAATACCATCCCCTCCTGGTGTGTCATCAACATTCGTTTCTGTTGTGTCACCGCCCACGACCACCACTTCCTCTCCATCCTCTTCCATCGCAGCTAATTTCGCTGCCCGTTTTCTCGCTCTCTCCACCCTCTCCCTCTCCTTTTCCGCTGCCCGTTCTGCCCGTTCAAATCTCCTTCTCTCAGCCCTCTCCCTCGCCTCCCTCTCCCTCTCCCTCTCCTCCCTCCTCCTCCTCCCCTCCCATCTCCTTCCAAGCAACCCTGAAACTGCTTCCCTCTCCCCCTCTGCTGCTTTCACAACTGCTGCAGCCACCTGGGCAGCCAGAAATTTTGTAACTGGCACGAAAGCTCTTTCTTGAACCTGCCCAAAAAACATGGGCAGGGATCTGTGTGGAGCCCCCAGTTCCCAGAGGGCTTTAATCTTCTCCTCCTGCCTCACCCCCCTTGATCTCTCCATACTTCCTCCTTTTCCAACCGAACCTTCCCTCTCATTAAAATCACACCCACTTTTGCCACAATCACAGCCATTCATGTCACAATCACAACCGCTTTCAGCACAATCCCACCTGCGTCTGTTTAAGTCACTCTTAAAGTCGACAAGTGGAGGTAATAGAAGGCCGATAGGAGCATGGAGGGTGGAGGTGCGGGAGATAGCTGATTCCCTGGGTAACCAGAATTGGAGGAAGAGGAGGAGGGAGCGGAGGTCAGTGGGGAGAGAGGAGAGGAGCAGGGAGAGGAGGGGGAGGAGGGGGGGAGGTGGGGGAACGGAGAGCTGTGCTTGCTCCATGCAAATCTGGATGGTCGTGGGGGGAAGGGCCAAGTCCAAGGGTTGAAGGCGAGTGGATCAGTAGGCGTCAACAGGTATGTGCAATTCAGTTTTGAAATGTTTCAAAACTAGATGGTAGTGGGGGACAGGACGAGATTGAGGGGTTGAAGGCGAGTGGATCAGTAGGCGTGAATAGATATGTGCAATCCTATGCGAGGTGCTACAATCCTATGCGAGGTGCTGCAATCTCAAGCTAGCCAATGTGCGACTCTAGGCATGCAGAGTTGCATGCAACGTTGCGAGCGAGCTAATGGGAAGAAGAGGAGGAGGGGGGGGGGGTGGGGGGGAGGAGGGAGGAGAGCGGAGCGGAAGAAGGGAAAGAGTGGGAAGGAGAGGGGAGGAGGGGGGAGGAGCGGAGGAGGGGAAAGAAGTATGATGAAGAGGACAGAGAAAGAGCATACCTCGCGACTACAGCTGAATCCACCTGCTCTTACCTTGTGTAGCAGTGGCAGGGCTTGGGACGCTGAGGGCCTGGTGAATGGGATGATGAAGCGAGTAAGGGCTGCGGGAAGGCTGGGGTTGGGAGCTGCGAGGGATTCGGGAAATGGTGGGCAGGGGAGGGCGCAAGGAGGACGGGAAATGGGGTGAGGGGAAAAACAGGCCTGTTGAAGAGCACAAGATGAACCCAAGCCTATGGTCTCGGGTTCGATACTCACAGTTGGCAGTAAGGATGATGGGGCGTTTGTTGTGCTGGCGGGAGGGACTCAGCAGCTGCACCAGCAGAGCAACAAAGCCCCTGTCCTCCTCTATAAGCACATCAACATCTTCAAACAGCAGCACGGACGCTCCCACGTGCCTTGATTTGGCCCCAGTGGTGGCACCAGCGGTAGCATGGGCAAGATTGCTAGCCACAGCCGGAGCAGAAGCAGTTGCAGGGGTAGCAGCAACAGCAGGGGCAGCACGAGGGAAAGGGGTGCCACTTGGCACAGCGCGATTGGCGGAGAGGCGGTGTGAGAAGAGGAGCTCGGAGAACCTTCCACGAAGCAGCGCCACGTCTCGAGCGTCAGACGCGTTCACCTCCACAACTTGAAAGCCCAGGGATGCTGCACAGGCATACGCTGCTGCGGTCTTGCCGCTCTGATGAAAAGGGAGAAAACGCAGGGGGAGAGAGGTGTGAGGTTGAGGGCTTGAGGTCCGATGACTTAACCTCCACGACTTGAAAGCCCAGGGATGCTGCACAGGCATACGCTGCTGCTGTCTTGCCGCTCTGATGAAAAGGGAGAAAACGCAGGGGGAGAGAGGTGTGAGGTTGAGGGCTTGAGGTCCGATGACTTAACCTCCACGACTTGAAAGCCCAGGGATGCTGCACAGGCATATGCTGCTGCTGTCTTGCCGCTCTGATGAAGGGAGAGGATGGGGTGTGTGGGTTGAAAACAGAGAAAAGAGAGGGGTTGGTTGGCATGAAGCAGTGCTCCGTCTCGAGCGTCAGATGCGTTGACCTCCACGACCTGGAAACCCAGGGATGATGCACAGGCGTATGCTGCTGCTGTCTTGCCGCTCTGAAACGGAGAGGGAACGTATAGGCTATGAGGGGAACGAAGCTCAGAGGTTGGGTGTGGGTCAGACGCGTTGACCTCCACGACTTGAAAACCCAAGGATGATGCACAGGCGTATGCTGCTGCTGTCTTGGCGCTCTGATGAAAGGAAAAGGGTTTGTGGGTTAGAAACAGGGGGAAGAAACAAAAGGTCTGCTGTTGATCGCCCCGAAGCAGCGCTCTGTCACGAGCGTCAGAAGCGTCGACTCCCTTGACTGCTTGGAAACCAAGGGGTGCTGCACAGGCCTGTGCCGCGGTATAAGAAGAAAATGGCAGAGAAGAATATGAGACAGAGAGAGTGTATTAAAGGTACGAGAACCATAGGTATAAGGTCCGGAAAAAACAAGGATTTAAAGGGAAAGAGAGACTAAAAAAGGAACGAGAGGCTCAGGGGAAGTGGGCAGGGAAAGGCAAAAAGAGGCTCTCACCCCCACAGGTCCTGTTAGCAGCACAGCACACGGTAGCTGCTCCCCTTCCTCCTCCTCCATCCATGCATCAGAGTCACTCCCCTCGTTATAGTCACTCTCTGCACTGTAATCACTCCCACTACAGTCACGCTCCGTGCCGCCATCCCCACCACCACCACTGTCACCATCACTCCAGCCCTCCGCGTCGCTACTCTCCTCTCCAGATCCAGATCTCCTTTTACCAGGTCTCCCTTTATCAGAGCTCTTCCAAAAACCTCTTTGCTTCACTGCCCTTGCTCGCCTGCTTTGCCAGCCGCCACCCCCCATTCCACCAGTCCCCACCACCACTACACCATCCCCCACTGCACCTGCCCCAGCATGAGCATCCGCAGTGGCGGCCGCTGAGGTATAAGGGCGTATGGGCACGTCAAAGGAACCGCCAGCAGCAACAGGTGCAGGTTCTGCAGTCTCAGCAGTGGGTGCACCACCAACGCCACCAGCAGCGCCGGCATCAGCAACAGCAGCAGCATCAGCACCTTCAGCAGCAGGAGCAACAGCAGCAGCAGCAGCAGCAGCATCAGAAGCAGCAGCACCAGCAGCATGAGGCTGAGCAACAAACATGGGTGTAGACCCAAGGCGATTCTGCCACTGCTGCAGCCACTGCAGCAACTCGTTAACAGCTGCCTCATTACCACATATCTGGCAGGGGGGAGGGGAAGGAGACAAGCAGAAAAAGGGTTTTGCATAAACTCAAGGGGATTTTCGCTACAGCTGCAGCCACTGCAGCAACTCACTAACAGATGCCCCTGTCAAAGCTACAACCACTGCAGCAACTCGTTAACAGCAGCATCGTTGCCACATATCTGACAAAGAGAGGGAGAAGGGAGACAAGCAGAGGACCCAACAGAGTGAATCCTGAGAGATAGGTGTATGACCAAGCCCTGCCAAAGCTACAACCACTGCAGCAACTCGTTAACAGCAGCATCGTTACCACATGATTGGCAGGTGGAAGGGAACGGGAGACAAAAAAGGGGACAAGCATAGAGAGAGAAGAAGGAAAGGAGACAATCTAAGAGGCAGAGTGACCCCTGAGAGATAGGTGTAGACCCATGATGAACTGCAGAGGAACACGATAAGAAACGAAGTCTCAACATCAACACTTCGAAATGCCCCACCACTTTTGACCCCACTTTTGACCCCTCGTTTGACCCCACTTTTGACCCCTCGTTTGACCCCTCTTTTGACCCCTCGTTTGACCCCTCTTTTGACCCCTCGTTTGACCCCTCGTTTGACCCCTCTTTTGGCCCCTCTTTTGACCCCTCGTTTGACCCCTCTTTTGACCCCTCTTTTGACCCCCTCTTTTGACCCCTCTTGTGACCCCTCTTTTGACCCCTCACTTCCACCTGTGCCTCACAACTGCCCCTGCCTGACCTCTGCAGGGCTCTTTGGTTGGTAATGGCGCGACCAGAGGTCAACCGCTACTCCTGCTCCTCCTGTTGCTCCTTCTGATGCTGCAGACCCTTCCACCACAGCCGTCATAGCTCCTGCTTCTGTGCCTGTAGCAGCACCTGATGCTGCACCTGTGACAGCATCTGTGGCAGCATCTGATGATGCACCTGCTGCTGCACCTGCCTTCCCTTCTGTACCCTTTGCTGTGTCAACTGCTGCGTCAACTTCTGTATCAGCTGCCGTATCAGTTGCGGCATTAACTGCTGTGTCAACGGCTTGCCCTGCGGCACCCTCTGCCGCTACTGAGCATCCAGCATTAAAAGCCGCTCCCTGCTCTGTTTTCTTCCCCACTCCACCCTCTTCCGTCTCTCCTCTCCCCCTTGACCCCTCCTTCCCAAGGAGAATTCTCCCATGCACACCAGCAGCACAGCGGCCAAACAGCACTTGGCCAAGAGGGGGGAGGGGAGGGCTCGTACAATGCTGCTGCTGCTGATCCTCCTTTTGAAACGGCTCAACTGACGAGTGCATACGAGGTTGCTGATTCTTCTGCTGCTGCTGATGATGATGATGATCCTCCCCTTCCTTCCCCCCCTCCTCGTTCCCCTCTGTCTCTTGGGTCACATGGAAGGGGTTCAGGGGCAGCAGAGGAACCTTCCGACCAGGAAATCGCATCACCCGTGCACCAAAGAACCCCCCACCACCAACCTTTCCACCGGCTCCCGCTGCTGCCCCTCCTGCTGCCCCTCCTGCTGCCCCTCTCCCAGCAACACCCTCCCCAATGCCAGCAGAAACCCCTTCTTCCTTACCCCTAACTAGACCCCCTAGGTTGCCAACCCCTCCTGTGCCGTCAACACGGCCAGAACCATCCACACCAGCAGAGCAATCAAGACGCTCTGAGCCATCAACAACACCCTGTACACAGTTAGCTAGCCCTCCTCCTGCCCCAGTAGCAGCTCCCCCCCTGCCTGCTCTCTGCAGCCACTGCTGGTACCACTCCCCTCTTGGCCGCTTCACCTCAACCACCCCCTCCCCTTCCCCCTCCTCCTGCTTCCTTGCCCTCTCGCTTCTCGTCTCCTCTCTTGCCTGCTCTTTCTTATCTGTGCCGATCCCAGTCCCCACCTCCTCTCGCGTGCTCCTCTTCCCTCCTGCTCCCCTGCCCCTGGCTCGCTTTCTTCCTTTCTTCCCTCCAGTGCCCCTCTTCCTTCCTTCCTCTGCACTCTCCTCCTCTTCGTCTTCATCTTCCTCCTCTTCCGTCTCTTCTTCCTCTTCCTCCTCCTCCTCTTCCTCCTCTGAAGTGGCGACTGCTTTGGCCCTCCCTCTCCCTCCACCCCTACCTCTTCCCCCTCCTCTTCCTGCCCCTTTTCCCCCTCCTCTTCCAACCCCTCGTCCTCCTCCTCTTCCCCCTCCTCTCCCTCCCCTCCCTCTCCCTACCAATGCTCCTCTCCCTCTCGCCGCTGCTCCTCTCCCTCTTCCACTCATTCTCTTTCCCCCATCAGCCTTTCTCCCCACACACCCCACCACCACCTCCTCTTCCCCTTCTGACAACTCCACTACAAGAGTTGCTGCAACAGCACCAGCAGCAGCAGCAGCAGCAGCACCGTTCCCGTTATCAGCAGCCTCGTTAGCAGCAGCAGCAGCAGCAGCACGGACTGGCTTTGGCTGGCGCTGCCTGGGGAGAAAGAAGGAGTGCATAGGCCGTCCAGCAGTGGATTGAGCAAAGAGCTGACATGGGGTGGGGGTGGGTGGGGGGAGGGGGGTGGTTCGGAAGGGATGGCATTTGTAAGACAGAGGCCTGGTGGGCGGGAGACAACGACTTGGTGTTAGTAGGCGAGTGGAGTAAGCCCTTGGGATGAGAGCAGAGCGCAACAGAAGCCATGAAGACGAGATCTTGTCTCACCTGCGCCGTCTTGTGCGCCTCTTCTCGCATCCGAGCCTTCTCCCTCTCCACCTTTGCCTCCATGTCTTCCTCTTCCTCCCCTACTCAAGGCCCATTTGATTTGATGCTCACCTGCGCCGTCTTGTGTGCCTCTTCTCGCATCCGTGCCTTCTCCCGCTCCACCTTTGCCTCCATGCTCTCCTCTTCCTCTACTTCCCCCTCCTCCGCCTCCTCCTCCTCCTCTTCCATTATTTGTACATCATCATCCGAGTCCTCTTCTTCTGTCCTCACCTCTTCTTCCTCCCCCTTCGCTTCTTCCTTCCCCTTCGCTTCTTCCTCCCCCTTCGCTTCTTCCTTCCCCTTCGCTTCGTCCTTCCCCACCGCTTCTTCCTTCCCCACCTCTTCTTCCTTCTTCTCTGCTTCTCCCGTCCCCTCCGCTTCTTCCTTAAGCCCCTCTCCCTCCAATGCATCCGTCCTCGCCTCCTCCCTAATCTCCTCAAGCTCAACCTCTCGCTTCGCTTTTCCCATGCCCATTGCATCCCCTAATCCTGTTAAATCCACATCCTCACCAGCATTACCACCTTCATTTGTATCACGCTCCACCACATTCTCCCCAGCAATACCACCTTCATTTGTATCACAAAAGTACACCGGTAGCACCACTGCTGCACCTCTATCAAATTCACCACCCACGGGCACGAACCGGATCCCTAGCATCATCTGCTGCAGCCGCTTCCCTCCTCTGGAAGCCGGCCCTTTGCTCTCGTTTTGGCGCGTTCCTTTCAAACTTTCGCGTGCGGCCTTCTGAGTCCCTTCAGCAGCAGGCTTTCTGCGTGTCCTTGGGCCCTCTTGCACGGCGTTTGGCTGGAAAAGACTCCTCTGCTTCAGCCTCCGACCTGGAATGAAGTCAGTTCAAGGGAAACACGTTGAGGGGATTAGGCGCACACATGGGGTTCTGAGTCCCATCAGCTGGCAGGCCTTCTGTGCATGCTTGGCGAGGGGTGGCTAACACAGCTGACGATTGTTTTGGTGCAGCAGTCTTTCTGTGCATGGTTGACTAGGGATGCTGAACACAGCAGGAACAGGGATGCTGAAACCAGAGCAAAAGGGCTACCAGACCAGAAAAGGTAAACATCTGACAGTTTCCACGGGCCAATCTTACTGACGGCTGGGACTCACCATAACGGGACGTCCCCACTCCGCCAAGCGCCTCTGCTGCAGCAGGATGCTGAGACTCCACCAGTGGAGCGAGCTGTGCCTGGTGAACCAGGGCTGGCTGTGCTGGTGCTTCCTCCACCGGAGCAGTCTGAACCGGCCCGCCAGAAACTGCTGCCGCTTCGCCAAGCGCCTCTGCTGCAGCAGGATGCTGAGACTCCACCAGCGAAGCGAGCTGTGCCTGGTGAACCAGGGCTGGCTGCGCTGGTGCTTCAACCGGAACAGCCTGAACAGGCCCCCTATAACCCGCAGCTGCTGCTTTGCCAACGTCCTCTGCTGCAGCAGGCGGCTGAGTTTCCACTGGGCCTGGTGAAGCGAGCTGTGCCTGGTTAACTGAGGGTGGCTGTGCTGCTGCTTCCTCCACCGGAGCAGCCTGAACAGGCCCACCGCAACCTGCAGCTGCTGCTTTGCCAACCGCCTCTGCTGCAGCAGGCGGCTGAGTTTCCACTGGGCCTGGTGAAGCGAGCTGTGCCTGGTCTACTGAGCGTGGCTGTGCTGCTGCTTCCTCCACCGGAGCAGCTTGAGCCAGCTCATCAGAACCCTGGGCGGCAAGAGAGGCTTCACTGGACGCACCAGCAGAGATACCTGAAGCAGCAGCAGCGTCACTGGAAATAGGCGCATCAGCAGCAGGCATGACAGTAACAGGAGTCTCACTTGCAGCAATAGCAACAGGAGTCTCACTTGCAGGAGTAGCAGGTGTGACAGTAACAAGAGTCTCAGTTGCAGTGGTAACAGCAGCAGCCTCAGTGACAATAGCAGCTTCGGCACTCACAAGAGCCTGCTCTCCAGCAGGAGTCCCAGACGCCATAGCATCCCCCCCAATCATCCCCACTCTTTCCTTTCCAAGAACAACAATACTCTCAATTTCCGACACCTCCTCCTTTTCCTCCGCTGACGTCCTTTGCTCTCTCCCCTTCACCTGCTCGCGCTCCTTTTGTTGCACCTGTTGCCGCGTGTGCTCCCCATCCCTCTCCACCGCACTGAACTCCTCCAAAACGCTCACACGCTTCCTCCCAACACCAACGCCCACGGGCGAACCCAAGGACATGGACGCGGTGAAAGGTGTCGAATGAGCGGGGGACACGTCAGCTGCAGGGGCGAGTGAGACGTCAGCTGCATGAGCGACTGACACATCAGCTGCAGGGGCGCGTGACACGTCAGCTGCAGGGTTGGTTGACACATCAGCTGGAAGAGAGACTGACACGTCAGCTGAAGGGATGGCTGACACGTCACCAGCCACTGCAGCGTACACCTGTGCTACCCCAGAAACCTTGACCGCCTCCATCTGCTTCTCTCCTTTCCTAGGTCGACCCCGCTTTTGAGTCAACTCAAAAGTCACCTCGCCTCCAGCCACTGCAGGAACCGCCTGTGCCACCCCAAAACCCACGACCGCCTCCATCGGCTTCTCTCCTTTCCTAGGTCGACCACGCTTACGTTTTACCTCACCCATCCGCTGCTGCTGCTGCTGCTGCTGCATCTGCATCTGCTCCCCCTCCTGCTGCTGCTGTTCCTGCTGAGCCAGGTTATTCCCTAGCTTCTCTGCTTGCTTGCGCTTTCTCCTTTCCGGCGCGGGCAGGAAAAACTCTGCAGAAAGCGACGCGAAAGGACATGGGGAGCATATAACAATCTGAGCCTCAAAGGCAATCAGGCCCTTGTGTCAAAAATTGCACGCCGGAGGTCCAAGGACATGGAAAGGAATATTCACAACGTTTTCCAGCCATGCCTTACCGTGCCTTGGCGCAGCTGATGCTGCTGCCGCAATGGATGCTCCCTCCTCGGCCGCTGCCACCTCCTTGCTTCCATCAGCCTTCGCTGGAGCCACCTCCACTGGAACTGGCTTCTCCGCACCACTTACGCCCGCCGTGTCAGTAAATGCTGGCTCGCCAGCAGCTGTTGCTGCTGCCGCAATGAACGCTCCCTCATCGACCTCTACAGTAACCGCCTTATCCGCAGCACCCACGGCCGCCATGTCAGTAAGCGTTGGTTCGCTAGCGGCTGATGCTGCTGCAGCCATACCAGCTTCTTCTATCTCCAGAGGAGCCGCTGGATTTATGGCGGCTGTTACAAATGCATCTGGCGATGCATCAGTGGCTGCAGGATTGACCTGAGCAGAGTTAGTGGGAGCAGTGCTATTAGTAGCAGGCTGAGTCTTTGCACGAAGGAACATGTTCTTGAGGGTAGTTTCGCGCAGCCGCGTGGAGCGCACGGAGCGCTGCTTCCCCTCACCGCTCATCGTGGGGTAAGGGAAAGACCAGCCAGCGAATGAGTCAGCTGGTTGCAATGACAGGCACACAATAAGTCAGCTCGCTGGAGTGACAGGCAAAAAAAAAAATCGCTGCGGCTGTTGTTGGAATGACAGACAGAAAATGAATCAGCTCGTTAGAGTGACCTGCCAGCGGAAGAGCGAACGCCCTGGCGAAGTAGACACGCCACTGGGAGCCGAACCGAGTTAACGAAACACGAAACGCAACGCTAGCTGATGGTTAGCTATTCAATATGATACTTCTCGGAAACACTTGAACCTCGTCTGACTTCATCGGATCACCTTCAAGTGCTCCCAAGCATAGCTCGTGCATCAGGAAGCTCGAAGGATTGACATGTCGCTACATAAACTGATCTTTCAGAATCGAGGTGAAAGAAACAAGCTGATGTCAGGTTTTCGTAAAATGGCGGGCTGTGGTTGAACGGGAGACACCAGGGAATGGTGTCAGCTGTAGCAGACGGTATCGACGCGAGGTGGTGAAGAGTGGTGCGTGTCGGTGTTCACCTACGTCAGCAACACATGGTTCAGCTTGAAATTCAAAATTTTGAATTCTCTGTGGTGAATTGTTCGTTACACCGGAAGATCGCAAACACATTTCGCATAAGTTCTGTACTCGCTGTGCGGTGCTGCGATGTGAGATTCTGTCGGGAAGCACAAGTGTTGGATGGAGTTCTTTTCCCAGGGGTTTTTGTTCGTCCACTGCGGTTCCTCACGGTAAAACTGCACACAGACGTAACCAATTTTGACCGTCCCAAACCGTGGTAGGTGAACTCGAATATCTCTCCCCCACCTATCAGGGAGATAGCAGGACACAGCATATGTGAGATGTTCCGTCAACGTCACGCTGAACCCAAGCTTGATCAGGCAATCGATGATTCATTTCATTGACCTAGGAAACAACAGTGTCAGAGCGTTTGTAAAGCCTACAGTCCTTCGTTCACGATTGAAGTTGGTCTTTCCGACATTGATGCCTGACACATTTCGCGAGCCATGTCGGCGAGCTCACAGAAAGATTTAGGCGAGGACGAGACAGACGCTGTCTGTGACCCTGATGACGAACAGATCTTTCAGTACATTCAGCGGCTTCCTGGCGAGGCAAGCACGGATGCGTATCGTTTTTGTGTTATTATCTCTCCTTTCAATCCGTGCATTGTATGAACCAAATCGTGCCGTATGTGTTAGGTCAGGCCATATCAGGAAGAGAAGAACTCCTTAAAGCAATCCTCGCGTCTGTTAGCAGTAACAAGCGGACATCATCGCGTACTCAAGTTCTTCAAGGATTGCTGGTCGGTGCAAGTTTACATTCAGGCTTTTTTAGTTCAATGGTTGTCCTACTGCGACCTCACTTCATCTCTTGGTAATTTCTCGCAGGATTGTTGGCAATCACCATTGGATATTGAGAAGGGTGCGAATGAAACTGCGAGATTGTACGCGGATTTGATATGGAGAACTCTGTGTCTTGAGACGGCCTACCATGCTGCAGCCATGGAAAAACCTTCTGTTGATTTCATGCTCTGCTTCTGGCAGTTAACCACCGAGGTCTGGTTAATGTTCTTTTTACCTTAACACGCTTTAGAAATAACAAGTTACTGATGCCTTTTGTTGATTCAGGCTTGCAGGCATGTCTCTTCTATCTTGGAGGATCACTTTGAAGGCTTAAATTCAAATTTCTTGAGCGTTCAACACCTCACCGAACAGGTCACTTTTGGCTTGGTTAACTATATCGTACTTCACTTGAATAATCAATGGTGACACTAACACTGGATCAATCTCCGCTTTCAGGCAATGAAGCTTATTTCCTTGTCTGCAGGAGCTCTTCTAAGTTTAATGGAATCTCAGCCACTATTGCCTGTCAAAGAAATCGCCCAGCTGATCCAAGAATCATTCAGAATGATGAAGTCATCGTTTTTTTCCGTGAAGGTAATTCATTGGCTCTCACATGATGTTGTATGTTCCCAATAAATCAAACAAACGTTTCTCATAATTGATGTTGTTTGTCTGTTTTTTCAGGCTTTTCCATCTCAGTGGCAGGAAATTTTCAAGAAACCCTTGATTGATGTGCTTGGTGCCTTTCACAACGTCAGCTCGTCTGCATTGAAACAGTTGGAATCAGTGTCTCGGAGAATCAACAGTCACTGGAATTCAGAGTCACCCAATGAAACTGATGAAGATACTGACATGGACCATCACAGCAAGGCGGTCGTTGAAGACTTTAACCGACTTGTGGCTCTTCTTTTTCGAAGCTTCGAAGCAGTTGGAACCGTTACAGCGCGTATGGGCTCTCACTATGCGACCATCAACCTGGCCTGGAAGACAGTCGTATCTATTCTTGCTACTATGGCCCGAATGTTTCCTGCTCCACAGCCATATTCATCGCGGCAGCAGGCCCCTAAGCATGAGAGTAACTATGACAGCGGACCTGGTGAGATTGATGAAGTGGATTTACCACCATGGAGCCGTGAAGATGTGGTGCATGCAATCAGCATGTTGTTCCATCATACGGCACGCAGTCTTGTCCTGGGAGCAGAGGCTGGACGGCAGATGCTGGTGGATTTCAATGTCAGGCTTGGGAAGCATCCAAGCAGGGAGGAAAATGAAGCGCATGAAGGAGATGAGGCGTACAAAGTTGAGTTGGAGAAGCTTAGCAAGAACCTTCAGCGAGTCTTCATGCTGACAAAGTTCTTCCAAAATAACGCCATTCGCGTGGCACTTCTTTATCCAGCTGAGGCATGTGATCAGGCTGCTTCAGAAGACATGACCGGCCTGCTGTTCGCCTATGCGGGTCTCCTTCATTACAGGGATGGGGATGGAAGATGTGCGGATGGCAGTGTGCAGAAGGCAAACGGTTTGAAGTGGCCGGTTCTGTTTCAGGTGGCAGATGCTCTGGCGCAGGTGCTGGGTCCTACACTCTTTGGGCTTGTTCACAACATTCTGAATTCGGAGAAAGTTTCAGCGAGTGCCAAGGCCAACCTTATCCTCCAGATTCTCCCAGCAGCTGGATCCGGAGGACCACCACCACAGACAAATATGATCTGGAGGGTGGTTTCATCTGCGGGCGTCAATGCCGAAGGTTCAATGAAAGGGGGGAGCTGTAAAATGATTGGTCTGGATCAGCACAGCCCAGAAATGGCTGAGTGGCAGTCGTGTGGGAGGTTGGTGACTGCCACCACAGTTCTGGAAGGCGCTTCTTCATACAGTGATCAAGTGCTGAATGTTGTGACCAATAAGCTGGATGGTTTGATCAGTCTTGCAGCAGACCAGCATTCCTACATCCCACTGCTTTCCCGACTCATCTGGCCGTTTTCAAACCAGCGGAAGGAGGGAACTGACACGGGGGCGGCAGCAGCAGCAGCAGGAAGGACAGCGAGGCAGGTGGTCCTGTTTTCACAACTAAACCGTGGACTCAAGGTCCTTGTGGCTGTCATTGGTGCCAGGGTTACCAGTTTGCGTGAGCCCGCTTCCAGGGATGTGGAACAAAATAACATTGGGTATTTGGCGCTTTGGGAGGAGGTTGAAGCCTTTCTCTTTCAAAATGCAGTGCACCCGCATCCCATTTGTGCAGAGCTTGCTCGGGACACGTGGTGCTTTCTCATTCGACATTCAGACCCTCAGCTTGCAAGAAGTCATGCACAGCTGTTGCTCCGGTCTGTTCAGGCCTCTTTGCAAACCACCGTGAAGAATGAATCTAAGCCTCAGTCCAACGGTTGGGGAGGAAGCAGCACTGCAGTACTGCTGGGCAATGTGACTGGGGTGGAGGAGTGGCTAGTTTGTGCAACGGTTGATGTTCTAATGGCATGCCCCGATGCAACCGTATCTGATGTCTTCCTCAAGCCATTTGTGTGGCACATCAACTCATCATTCTCAAAGTTCTCAGCTTCAGCAGGAACTGCCAGTGCTGTTTCGCAACACAGCCGCACTGCAACTTCCTGCCCCCCCAAGTCCATCAACCAGGAGATTGCTTCTGTTCTGGCTTTCTCTCTCCTTCTGGAACGTGGAATGGCAGCAGGGATCCACAGACGCCAGCCAGCTGCTCTCCTCCCAATTGCCCGTGCATGCTTTGGTGCCGCACGTGCAGCGACTACTAACATCATGGCGAATGCATCTCGCGACGTTACATGGGAGCAGGTGGCTCTGCTTGGAAGCATGCTGACGAGCATCACTGCTGTGCTGCGTGAGAGGTAATGAATATAAACTTGTCGATGGGATGTTGACGTTGTTTTCTTCTTGTACACTCCTTCCTCTTGTCTCTACCACATGTTGATCACATGCTCCTTATCATTGTGCTTTCGATTTTTTTCTTCTTCTTCTTCTTTTTCAGGGCTGAATCTTCCATGAGTGGCACTAGTGGGCTTCCTGCTGTCTTCCCGAACACGAAGGACCTGGTCAAATTGGCTGCAGATGCCGCAACTCTGCATGTTCCATCTGATATGGTGAATGGTGCTCACCTGATTGGAAGTAGCAGGCATGGTCAACTCACTGGCTCGGGAAGCAATCGGAGCAGCAGTCCCTATTCAGATGCTCCCATGATTGATTTGGACCGCGGTACCAAGGAGAAGTTGAATGGTGGAACTCAGCAGCCGTTGCTTGCACGAGCTGCCCGCTTACTTGCTGCTGTGAGCAGAACCTCAGATGGAATCAGCGTGGCTGATGTGGAACCAGTCCTCCGTGCCATGCTGCATGTGCTTCAACGAGTACATTGCCACGATGATGGATTTGTGGGGGAGTCTTGGAGCAGGGCACGAATGCTGGAGGGAGAGGTGGCTGCTGCTGCTGCCCTGCTTTTTCCCCAGCTCTTCGCAAGCTCTCGGACTTTGCAGGAGCTGATCCACAAGCCAGTTGCTTTGGAGCTGCTTCACACCTTGCTCTCCTCTCACCATCTTCCTGCAGCTTACTCATCTCTCTCTGCCCTGCATGCTGCAATCACAGCCTGCCACTCAAGCACAGGCATGGATACCAGAAAGTACACCATTTTGAGGAAAGTCCTGCCACAGTCTGGATCTGGCACTGTGTTGGACGTCCTCATGAAGCCTGGGTGGACTCCTGAAGAAGCTGAGCAGGAATTGAGTTATATGTTCCATCTCCAGCAGCATCAGCAGAAACAGCAGTGGCAGCAGCAACACTCTGAAAGCCGTATTCACGCACTGAGGGCTGAGGGGCAAGTGCTTCAGTTTCGAGGAAAATGCTTCGAACAGAAGCTTTCTAACAGATCAGAACCTCTTTTGAAGGGCAACGTCCTTTGTATTGACTTGGACAGTGCGGATGGCAACGATGCTTCAGACGTGCGAATGGAGACAAGACAGGATGCTGAGCTAGTTGCATTGCCACAGAGGGTGGCAGAAGCAAACAGCATTTTGGAAGCTGTTTTGGCATGTGTGAGGTCCAAGCCTCTGTCAGGTCATCATCATGTTCTTTTGGGGGAATTTCGGACTCACTTGACAACGTCCAATCGTCTGATCAACGAGCTGAATAACTATGCTAGTAACAAGAGTTAAGTCATGCTAAACTCTGACTGTTTCCTACATATCTATAACTTGTTATACCCTGGTGTTGTACCTTTTGTGAGGGGTAAGGTTTCTATCGGAGCACCAATCTGAACAAAGTCAACTTTCCAGCTCACCCAAAAGTCCAAGGAGGTCAGTCTGCCAGGCTTGCAGAAAGGATCTTTCAGATGCGCAGAGGGTACCCCAAATTTCCGGGACTGACGCGACATCGAAATTTCCACGTGTACACACGCGGGAAGAGCGTGGCAGTTGGGGTCAGCCAGGCGATAGCGCAGAGAACTTGCAAATGTCCAGTTTCTGCATGTTCTCCGACGACTCCCCCCCTTCTTCTCCGCCCTCTCCCTCCCCCCTCCCCTCATTCGCTATCGGGCTTTCCGGGTTTCCATGGCCCGGACCAATCAGATCCATTCTCGCCACGCTGGAATCTCTTGGCTCTCCTTTCCGCAAGGCTTCTGTTTTCCCAGTGCGACACTGTAGCATCTTTGTGGAGGTTTCAAGGCCAAGATTCCCTCGCTTTGGGCTTACCCACCAACCACCATTTCATTTATGAACCTCCGCCACCACCAGTTCATATTCACAACCATTTCCGTGAGCTAGATTAATCTTACATGGTTTTCGTCAGCATAGGTGACTCCTAGCCGTTCTGCTAGAGCCACGCCGTAATCTCCTAGGCGGCTATCGTGTCGCCTTGCGAGCCGTCTGAAAACCTAACATAGTACATTCCCGACTTGCTTACAGATTCAAAAGTTCCTGTTTCGATATTCCGTGTCAATTCCGTGCCATAAGTAAGCTGGAATCATGTTCCGGTTTCTCGGAAAGAAGGCTCTCGAGCTCGGAGCGAAGCAGCGCTCGAACAGACCCTACTCCACTAACCATGGACGTTCCTGGAACCCGAGAATTGGGGGATGCTCCGTGCAAGTCGCGCCGGAAACGGCGGTAACGGAACCGGGTCACTTGCTGAATTCGTCGCATGTGCGATCCAAGGAGAGTGATTTTGTTGCCTCGGGTGCATTCAGGAGGCTTATTAGCGGCTCCGCAGGTCGCCAGCAGGAGCAGGCTGCAAAAAGAAGCTCCGGCGGATTTGAAGGGAGCATCTACCTCCATCACTCCGAGTACGCGTGTCCTATCCCAGTCATTTCTGTACATTTCTCAACAATTTGTTTAAGTACGCTCGTGTTACCCAGTGTATACGACTTTGGACTTGGAATCACTTCAAGTGCACGTACGTTATCCCTTTTCCGCGTCACGCCGTCTTGTTTCTTTGGAATCGATGCCTTTCCTGAAATCAAGTTTCCAAACTTCGTCATCGCCTGTCGGCCTTTTGACTTGTCATGAGCAAGATAAGCTTGTAAAGCGTCAAACTGGAAAATTATGTCAACAATAACGCACTGGCATTTCAAGGACAAGAGCTTGCGAAGG